GGGGCAAAGAGGGAAGTGGCACCACCTGGGGGGGGAGTATGTGGCTACACCAGTCTCCGCAGCACCTACCATGTTGCTATTCCAGTGTTAACACTAGTTGAAGGACAAGGTTGGGAGAGATAAATACACTTAGTGTTATGTGTGTGGGTATATCTGTCTATCTATCCATATAGATAGATATAATGCATGGGGGGTTTTGAGGGTTCACATACATACTGTTCCACGCACTATATAATGAGGAGTGGGGAGGGAAGACAGGGGGGCTGGAGGGGTTCGGATTTACACCCCCCCCTCCCGAGAAGGGACTATTTTCCTCCCATGGAGGAGAGACGGAAGTATTTACAGAACCACATTTTCTTTGCCTGTGTGGGCGTCCGACGCCTTGTGCAGGGGACCCGAGCCTGCCCCCCCACATCTATTTACAATCACGAGGTGCCACGAGGAGGAGGGGGGGCAGAGAGGGGGGGGAGTCCCTGCACAGCCCCCTCCGAGCAGGCGAAGGGCACTTCAAGGGGAGGCGGAAGGAGAGAGAGAGAGAGCGCTCGCACATGCGCACGGGGGGTTGTGTGCGTGGAAGAGGCCGGGCATCCCTCGCTCACGGCTTCTTCTCGCGCGTGGTGATGGTGACGAGCTGCTTGGCCGCCTTGGCGATGTCGTAGGCACACTGGATGACCTGCTGCGTCAGGAGCTGGTAGTCCACCGAGGCGCCTGGGTCGGGCGGGACTGTCTTGCGGCACTCGCTCTGCAGGCGGTAGGCGCTGGCGTTCAGCAGGCGCAAGGAGCTGCGGACTGTCTCCAGTGACGGTTTCTGGGGGGGAGGACAGGGTAGGAGGTGGTAGGAGAGAAACATGACTACCCAACCGAAAGAGCATTAACGCTGCAGCATTCAAAGGTGGTCTGTTACTTTCAAGTTACTTTTCAAAAAAATATCAGTTACTTTTAGTTACTTTTACAAAAAGTTCCATTCAGCACAAAAGACTCAGCAAGCTAGCACTGTAACTGTGTGACGTTCCTCTTCTACCACTGAACGAAGCTAGCCCTCATCACTATAAAGTAACTAAGTTGCTTTACACAAATGGTTTAATTACTTAACGGCCTTGTAGTTATTTTGCACCGCAAAAAGAATGAAATTATTCCTTGTCAGGTTACACTTGTCATGCAAGGCAGTTATAATTTTCCTATTGGAAGAAGGAATTAGTTACAAGGAACTCATGAACTGTGAAGTTACAGTCAACCTCTGCCCTACCTTTGGGAAAAGGGAGGCCATTTCCGTGACAGCAGCATGGATCTTCTCTGAGCAGGGGACGAAGCTGCTGGGGAAAGAGAGAAATTGAGGCCAGATACAGAGTCTTGGAGCCGGAATGAGAATTGTCCTTTACTTCGTTACCTTTTATTTCTAGCATTTTTATCTCACCTGACCCTGGGCAGAGTCTCGGAATGGGCCTTACGGATCAGTGAAAAGGAATGACCCAAAAAAAAAAAAAAAAAAAAAAAACAGATCCCTGCTCTCTAGCCTATGTATGTATATATTTTAAAAAGACATGGCACAAAAGGAGAAAGTGAGGATGAGGGAGAAGGAAAAGCAAAGCATGAGATCACCACGTGATGCCTGTTGTTTGCCCTTGTAGCAAGGCAAAGCTCAATAGAGATGTTTTACCCAGTGAGGCTGCATAAGAGCAAGCCCTGCACAGGTGCAACAGGTACATGTTTAATTCTTGCAGTGGGGGGAGCATGGGTATCACGCTTTCTCCTTCTTAGCCAATGACACCCCCCTCCCCAAGACCTTCACTGCTACCAATCTGAAGCCTAGAGGGTTAGGATCCCTCTGCTATTATGGTACTCATACCTTGCACACAGAACACCTACTACCTAGGACAGCTTGTGCACATTCTCCTTTTTGGGGGGGGACTACAATTCCCAGAATCCCCTAGCCAGCCACCAGAGATGCATCCAGACCTGTCATGCTTGAACTCCTGGGCGGCTCGGAGGAGTTCCTGAATATTCTTGGTGACCTGTTCCGTCTTGAGGATGACGTCCTCTGTGCTGGGCAGGCCCGGATCCAGATCCCCTTCCAAAGGTTCCGGTTCCAGGTGCGAGTCCTCATCCTTGCTTAGATCGAGGAAGCGCTTCCCATCCATGCTACGAGAGAGGAGAAAACAGGCAGAGATGGGGCTGGGCTGCAAGGTGGTAGGAGGCGCTGCCCTCCTCCCTCCTTTATACACCTCTCAAGGTGCATTAGCATGCTGAGAAGCAGAGCTAAGTTTCTAGTCCTCAAGACTGGCTTTTTTAAAAAAAGTCTGAGAAATGGTCCATTTAAATCTCAGCAGCCAACGGGATGGCCCCAGATGACTTCCAGAGGCTGAAAATAGTCTTCTGAACAGTTCCGGATCTCCTCACAGAGACCCCAGGACTGGAGAGAAATCACAACCACATGGAACATGAGCTTTGAACATAAAAGCACCCATTTTTATGTTAACACACTAAATCCAATGCTTTAATTCCAAGCCCTGAAGTTAATTAATTTAATGCACTCCCAGGGCCAATGTCTCTTGGTGCAGAATGCAGTTTTCTGGGAGCAGAATTTTAATGCCTGTTGGCAGGAGGGCCCTCCCGGTTCCCCAACCCCCCCTCCAATCCCCCCCCATGCGCACCTGAGTGGCAGATCCCCTCCTTGTGTGTTGTCATAGTCGCTGTCTGTACCGCTGCCGTGCCGGTCGAGTTTTCCCGTCTGAGAAAGGAGAAGCAAAAAAACAGAAAAGTCAGGTGGGAGACAGACAGACAGAGAGAGAGGGTAACAGAGAATGGCTTAGAAAGTTCCTTCTAAAAATCAATGGACACGCAAAAGTCCTAATGTGGTTTTCCCGGCGTGTAAGAGAAGTGGCATAAAATCTTGGTGGAAAACGGCTGCAAATTAAGAAGTTAGCATAAGCATTTGCTTGTAAGGACGGGATTTCTGGATTACTTGGGCTACACAGCCCATAATTCTCCGTTCTGGGAGTTCCACCTGGCAGGTGCCCAAATGTTGCTCACCTGGGAGACAGGAAAGCCCTCGAGGCCTCGCTAGGCCCAGCTCTTCCTTACTTCCTGTTCGGAAAGGAAGCTCCCAGCGAGGCCCAGAGAGTACGGAGTGTGCAACCTCAGCAGCACGAGAGAATTAAAATCTCGAGGAGGTGGCGGACGGAAGGAACCCTCGTTAGAGCAAGGCCACGATTCGTTGGGAGGAACCTATGGTTTTGAAGCCCCCTTTGGAGACCTTCAGCTGACCGCCTCCCCCCATGCAGGCAAAAGACAACAGGACAGGGAGGCTGGTGTTTCGGTCCCGTTCTCTCCTTCTCCGTTCCCCCCCCAAGGCCCACACGCCTCCGCCCCCCCCGCCCCCGACGGCCCCACCACGACACGGAAATTCACCATATGACGTCCGCTGCCCCACGACGACACGGGAATTCACCATATGACGTCCGCTATCCAACGGGCACGGGGCGAGCGGAGAACACGGGGGGAAAGGTACTGACGACACAGAGCCGCCCTTCCGGATCTGAAATGCCAGGAGACGGGGAGAAGGGCGAGGGGGGTTAAAGACGCAAGACAGACCGGAGGCCCCCCCCACAGCTCCCCAAAAAGCAGGGGAGGCGCTGGTTGAAATGGGCAGCCAAGCAAAACCAGCAGGGGAGACGGACTAAGTCCCACCCCGTCTCTGTCGGTTTGGTAATCCACACGGGGGGTGGGGAAGACACATGCACGCACGCACCCCCCCACCCCCATTACCCGGTAGATGCTGGGTTGGCTGTGCATGGTGTACAAGGCGTCATCATCCACCTCCTGGTGACATAGAAACAAAAGAGTAAAGAGTTGCACAAGGAATATGGAAGTTTCGTCCTCTGCCTGACCAAAAGGAGCTTGGAATCAGCAAAAGCCAAGCCCTGGCAGAAAGTAAAACGGGCAGATTTGCCTCGCCGGGCTTTGAGAGCATCACTTTTTATCAAAGCCTGGGTTCGAAACGTCACTATCCCTTTCAGCCCTGGATTACAGTCACTACCTCCTGTTTATTTTTCCGGGAAGCGCCCCATCTTTAATCCCAGGCAACTCGACTCCGCGAGGGGAACACCACCGATAACTTCCGGAATGAAGTCCCACTGATTCCAAGGGGTGACTATGGGGCGGCTTGCAACTTGATTCAAGCCTGCCGAAATTAGCCTCGCGTGAAGGGGGTGCTCCTGCGCTCGCTGTCACTCACCCCCGGGTGGAACGGTTGCAGTCGGCTCACCAAATCATCTACCGGCTGCTGCCCGAAGGGTTTGAGGCCGCTGGCCCCCGGCTCGTACATGGAGAAAGCGTGGCGGTCCCGCCGGTGGACGCCGGCGGTGGCCGCGGCAGTGGCAATGTGGCTGTGGTCGGAGCGCTCGTTGGGTGGTGGGGCCGCTGGGTGGGCCGGCCCCGTCTGCTGCCGGATCTGCACATTCTCTGCCTGCAGTTTGTGAATCTGAGGGTTGCATAGAAAGAAAGTTTCCAAAATCACGCAAAGCCGGTCCAATCCTGCATTTTTATACACACCAGCATCTGCCCATTTCTGTTTCCACCCCTTCCTGCCAGTGGTAAATGGAGTGCAGCCTTTTAAAACAGGAGAGGAAAAAAAACACAGCAGAACCCTGAATCTGTGGGATCGGTATCCACGGTTTCATTAACCTGAAGTCTGAAAATATTTATTTATTTGGCTTTTATATCGCCCATCTAGACGAATCTACTCCGGGCGGTTTAAAAATATTTAAATAAAACACTAGAAATGCATATTTACATAATGTATTTAGCAGAACTGGCCACTAGAGGGAGTCAGAGACCATGTTGTTTTTGTTGAAGAATATATAGCATAGTCTCTGTCTCCACCTAGTGGCTCTTGTTGAAGAATACATAGCATAGTCTCTGTCTCCACCTAGTGGCCAGATTTAGTAATACAATAAAAATCTAAAAATTTCTGGATTTTTTAAACCATTTTATGTACAGCGTTTGTTATTATCTGTGGATTTCAGCATCCACTGTGGGGGGGGCTTGGAACCAATCCCTCGTGGGTGGGGTTCTACTGTATGAGTATGAGTCGGAAACTACCAGACTGTGGAAGGGGGTGTGGGCCTATTTTGGATTCTAGGAGGGCCTGAGGTTTGTTGCTCTGCCCACCTGCCCACCTACCTCCCTCTGGAGCCTCCGCAGTTCCTCACTCAGGCTGTTGTTGACCTTCATCAGCTGCTGCACTTTGGCTTCGGAGGTGGCCAGGGCCTTCTTCACCTCCAGGTACTCCTGAAGGGTGATGGGGCCGTCCGAGAGGTCGGAGGAATCCATGCTCTGTGGGAGGGGGCGAAGCCGAAAAAGAGCCTGTGAGACGGGGCTGGTGGTGGGAGGGTCAACCAAGGACTGCCCCCTCCCCTCCCATGCGGAGGAGACATGAGCCATGGGGACGCCTTTTGGTGCCGAGGCGAGGACCTTCCCACAGAGGAATCCTCCAGATTTTGACTGGTGGAGGATGCTGTGGCCAGGGAAGATGAAAAGTCAGACCCTTGAGAAGGAACCAAACAGGGACAGCGGTGAAAGCTACCATTGTTTTACGGCAAATCGCCAAAAAGATGCCGCACCGCTTTGTGACACGATGACGTGGATCCCTCAGGACGGCTTTTTAAAAAGTGACTTTTGTGAGAAGTTCCTTTTTTGCAAGGCATGACACAAAAGTTACTCCCTGGGGAATTCCCAGAAGCGCCAGACCCGTTTCACACCCGGACGGAGCGGCTCTCCGTGCTTTTTAACGCGGGCTCACCCGGGCACGGTTATTCCGCGCGGCGTTGGCGTTCCGCAGGGGCTCCTGGTCCGTGTCTTCGTCCGAAGCCACGCTGTCGTAATCGTGCTGGTCGTCCACGTCACTCCGGCCGTGGAGGGAGGGGTCGGCCACCTCTTTTCAGAGGGTGAGGGAGGGGGGAGAGATTAAAAGGACGGCACCAATCCGGGCAGGAGAAAAGTCTAAGAAGTCCAAAAGCCATCTTCCCCTCTTCCTGAACTTGGGGGGGGGGGTTGTCACACCTCTCCAAATCCACCCCCCTCCCAAAAAGAATCATCCCCTATAGAGCCCTCTCTGGCAAATGAACTAACTAATCGTAAATGAACTAACTAATCGTAGCACTCATAAGAAGCAAAACAGCTGGAATAATTTGGGCATTTGGACAGAAAGCGGAATGCGTAGGTTGTTACAGCTGATCATTCTAAGTAAAAGGAAAGGAAAAAAGCTCAAACCACAGGAAACTTCTCAGCTAAGAAATCTGGGAGGCTAGAAACGGCCCCTCTCTTTTCTCCCATTATTGAACAAACCTGTCGGACTTGTGAGCCCCTTGCCTTGCTGCCGACGCTTCGCCTCACTTAAAATATCGATAATCAGGGTGGCAAACTCCCGGGCGTTGAAGCGAGCCAGTTTCTGCCGCCCCTGCGAGGGACGGAGAGAGAGAAAAAAAACCCACAAACATTATTGGCCGGGTAGGCCTCTGCGGTGCGGGAGTAAACACGGATGGGGGCCGTCCTCCCTTTACCTGATTGCGAGTCGCAGAATATTCGGGGTTGACGGGAAGGAAGGGCACCGCGCTGCGTTCGGTCACCAAAGTGCTGTGGTTCTGGGTTGTGAGCCAAACTGGGGGTGTTTTTTTGGGGGGGGGGAAACAGAAGGAAACAACCAGAAAGCACCAGTTAGCAAAATCTGTATTCCCAATCCTGCGCGCTCCAGACCAGAAGCGAGGGAGAGAGGAGAGTTTACAGAGCCCTCAAAAAGGGGGTGCAGACCCACACAGGTAGGGCCCTCCGCCCTGTTCGTCTTTGCGCTGTCAGACTGTTATCAGCCCCCTTTCTGTGCGCTACCTGGCAAGGCTGTCGTTACCGAAGAACCGCACACAGCAGACAAAACTCGCCATTCAAATTCGCAGCGCTGAAGGGCCAACCGGGGCCACGAACTGAAGCAGGAAGGGTTCCAAACGCAGACGCCTTACATCCAAGCATCGCTTGGGGCTGAGCATCTTTTAAATTCTTTCTTACTCCCCCCCCACTTAAAAAAGCTATTTTGGGGTGAAATCAACCGTAGATCCACTCAGCCAGAAAGAAAAACCCCCTGTATATCTTCCCTGACTCCCCCAAATAGCTGGCAAGTGCCAATCTCGACTCTCACCCCCCCCGAGCCCATCTTGCCATCGGTGCCCCTCCGAAACTGGCCCCTGTAAACTTTCAAACCCCTCCCGGAGCTGAAAATCCAAAGCACGAAGCTGGCAAAGGACAGAACAGAGAGCAGCTTCCCCTTTTGGGGGGTGAGAGGGGGGGTCTCCCTCGCCCTACGTGGGGCCTCGTGGAACGAGAACGGTCCCCCCCACCCCACCCCAGACAAGAGTGAGTCTCTGCAGGGAAGTTTCGGTGCAACTTCTCAGCTGCCACCCACCGAGCCTTCAAAAAAGCCAAAGAAAAGGATTTTTAGGCAGGACTCGGCGGCCCCACCCAAAACCAGCCACCGACAGCTTTACTTTAC